TAGCTTTGCGCCTTTTCCTGGTACTCACTTGGTAGCCCAGGCTGGCCTCGAACTCACAGAGATCCGCCTGCCTCTGCCTCCCGAGTGCCGGGATTAAAGGTGTGCGCCACCACCGCCCGGCTGTGTTGCATTCTTTTATGTTGCATTTGTTCAACTCTGTGAGGCTGTGCTGGTTTGCCTGTCTACAACACCTGATTAGTCTAATAAAGGGCTGAACGGCCAACAGCAAGGCGGAAGAAAGGATAGGCAGGGATGGCAGGCGGAGAGAATAAACAGGAGGAGAAATCTGGGAAGAGAAGATCAAGGAACGAGAAAAGGAGGAGAGGAGAACATCAGGGACCAGCCACCCAGCTACACAGCCAGCCACGGAGTAAGAAGTAAAGAAAGGTATATGGAATAGAGAAAGATAAAAGGCCAGAGGCTAGAAACACGCCAAACTAAGGCTGGGCATTTATAAGTAATAATAAGCCTTCGTGTGATTTATTTGGGAGCTGGGTGGTGGGCCCCTAAAGAGCTAAGAGTAAAGGAAAATAACCAACTACAGCTGTAAGTGCTCCCCAAAAAGGCTTGTGACTGGAGAGTTTCAGAAATCTGCTCCAAGGAGCCTCTTGTGAAGGCACCTACGTTCCAGCCTGTAATCACCTCCGAGACCGCCTGGGGTTGACACAGCCTGTGCCTTTGCTGCCTGCCAGGCTAAAGGCACTGTGCAAGGTGCTGAGGACACACGGTCACCGGGACTGGTACGTGAGGTTTGTTTTTTTTAGAATAAACCCGAAGAGCCTTCGGCTTTAGAGGCTCTGAAAGGAATTCCGGCCATGTAAGCTGTAAACTGTCAGAAAGCCCTGGATGGCCAAGGTGCATGTGAAAAGCCGCTCAATCTCCTTCACCACCGGAGAGAATATTAAACACTTCCACGCTGCTATAGACTTACACAATGAAGAAACGGACAGGTCCTGGAGTCTAGCTTAGTGGTAGAGCACTCGTTCAGGATGCATGAGGCCCTGGGTTCAATCCCCAACACCACAAAAAGAAAGGAGGGGGGTGGCAGGGAGGAACAGTGACTGACTGACAAGGCCGGGGCAGGGCTCTGCCCCTGGAGGGAACACGGAGGGGCACAGTTGCTCTACTAGGAGCCTGGCAGAATGTTTATTTACTTACTGACTTAAAGGGAAAGTGCAACTTTCAGAGCAGCAGAATATTTCACAAGTTTGTATCTTATTTGTTTAAAATGCTCACATTTGTTTGTTCTCCCTGCGCATGTGTGCAAAAGCTCAAGTGTACACGTTTGTGCCATAGGGCTCCTGTACAGGTCAGAGACAGCTTGTGGGAGTTAATTCTCTCCTCCCACCTTTTGGTCCTGGCATTGAAGTCAGGTCGTCAGGCTTGGTGACAGGTGTCTTTACCCACTGAGCCATCCCACTGGCCTGGTTTACATTTTATGGGCATGGGTGTTTTGTCTGTCTGTCTGTCTGTGTGCTCGGTGCCCACTCAGAAGAGAATGCTGGTCCCTTATAATTGGAGTTACAGTTGGGAACTGCCATGCGGGTGCTGGGAATCAAACCTGGGTCCTGTGGAAAGAGCAGTCAATGTTCTTTACTGCAGAGCCATCTCTCCAGCCCTCCAATATTTTTATTTTTATTTTTTTTTAAGATTTATTTATTTATTATATACACAGAAGAGGACACCAGATCTCATTACAGATGGTTGTGAGCCACCATGTAGGTGCTGGGAATTGAACTCAGGACCTCTGGAAGAGCAGTCAGTGCTCTTAACCTCTGAGCCATCTCTCCAGCCCATATTTTTATTTTTTGATTCAAGGTCTCACATAATCCAGGGTGACTAACATGGTTGGGCATTCTTGCGGGTCGCAAGAATATATCATAGAGATTCAGCTGTGTATTAAAGCTGAACTTTGATTGGCCGAGGGTCTGTCAAAAGGCAAAGCCATTTATTATGAATATTTGGTGTTTTCCAGCCTTTAATATTCCAGCTGTCTCCTAATATGAAATCTTTGTGTGCCCAGAACAATTGGTAAACAGTTCAGCTCCCCAGACATGCTGAACCTACTAAGTTACTAACTGCCCTGCTGAGTTTAGGAGACAAGCCGGCAGGAGACGCCTAGCTTTGTTTCCTGTGCTAATGAAGCTCAGACCATCCCCTCGCCTTGAGGAGGTTCCCCAGTGCGCTTTGAGAACAAAAGACGTTTTTATATATCAAGGTGAAAGATAAAACAACATTCCTGAAGAGGCAAGGAACCACGTGCCCAGGGAAAGAAAGGACAGGCATTTTCTGTAGACAGAGAACAGCACGGAGAAGAAAAAAGAGGATGGAAGAACTAGATGGGTAAGAACTTGAGACAAACAAACTGAGATGGGGAAGAACTAGATTGAAGGGCTAGAAGAGAGGACTAGAGGAACGAGATGGAAGATGGGGAAGTACTAACTGGGTAAGAACAAGATGAAAAGGACCTAGATGAGGCAGAATTAAGATGAGAGAATTAAGATAGAATTTAGAGGGAGCAGTAGATGAATATAGAGAGAAATCAGGCAAGAAAGGAGCTAGGCATGAGAACAGAACTGAAGCTGTGTATATAGGATGTTATCCCAGAGGAATTAAAGCAAGTGAACTACAGAGCTCAGTGTGCTGAGATTCTATTTCCTGAAAATAGTCCTCGCTGTTAGTAGTTCTCTCTCCTGAGCCCCTGGGATGTATAATGTTAAGGCTGGTCCCTCTAATATTATACAAGAGGGTATGGTGGCACACACCTTTAATCCCAGCCCCTAGAAGGAAGAGAGGCAGATTTCTGAGTCCGAGTCCAGCCTGGTCTACAGAGCAAGTTCCAGGACAGCCAGGGCTACATAGAGAAACCCTGTCTTGAAAACAAAACAAAAGATCTGGATTAAAAGTGGATCTTCCGGCCAGGCAGTGGTGGTGCACGCCTTTAATCCCAGCACTCGGGAAGCAGAGGCAGGCGGATCTCTGTGAGTTCAAGGCCAGCCTGGTCTACAGAGCGAGATCCAGGAAAGGAGCAAAGCTACACAGAGAAACGCTGTCTCGAGAAAAAAAAAAAAAAAAAATGGATCTTCCATAAAGATTTGGACTAGAAATTGGTCTTCCCACTTTGAATGATTTAATTAAGAAAATCCCTCACAGGTGTGCCCAGCTATTTGCATTTTAGTTAATTCCAGATGTAGTCAAGTTGGCAACCAAGAATAGCCATCACACTATGGAAATTTTTAGTTTTACTTATTTATTTTAACAGATGTTGTCAGTTATCTTCAAGAAAACACTCAGTTTATACTCACACCTCCAAGCTTCAGAAGACAGGCTTCCCCACACACATCATGAGGTATATTTATTCACTTCAAACCAAAAGAAAACAAGCAATATTGTTCCAGGTTCATCCAGAGCCTGTTCTGTTATCTGTTCCTCACTCCCTGTCAGTGTGAACACTGGAAAGTGCCCCCTGAGCTGGGCGGTGGTGGCACACACCTTTATCCCAGCACTCGGGAGGCAGAGGCAGGTGGATCTCTGTGAGTTCCAGGCCAGCCTGGTCTACAGAGCTAGTCTAGGACAGGCTCCAAAGCTACAGAGAAACCCTGTCTCGAAAAAACAAAAACAAAAAACTACATAGAGAAAACCTGTCTTGAAAAAACAAAACAAAACAGTGCCCCCTGCTATGACTAGTTGACCCACAAAGTCTTATGATGCAAACACAGAAGTTTGTGGTCGCTACCAGCTGCAGACTCCGATGTAGATGGCACTGAGCCTTGTCTGAGTTTGGAGATTCTGTTGCTGTGATGAAACACCAGGACCAAAAGCAGCTTGGGGAGGAAATGGTTTATTTCCTCTTACATCTCTCAGGTCATACCCCATCACTGAGGAAGTCAGAAACTCGAGACACGAACCTGGAGACAGGAACTGAAACAGAGACCATGGAGGAATGCTGCTTCCTGACTTGTTCTGGGTGTTCCTCAGCCTGCTTTTTTATAAACCGCCCGGATG